CTCACTGGCTGGGCGAGGCGCGGGAGCAACACCGAGGGTTGCGATCCCGTTGCCGGACACGGAAAAAGACAAAACAGACAAAGACAAAAAAAAAAAAAAAAAAAAAAGAAATCAGGAATTTGGGGCCCTGCCTCCAAACCCTCAGTCTGTCTAAACAAGGCCAGCAAATGAAATTTTTCTATCTACGGAGTAAGATTTTGGTATTTGCAGAATCATTTATATAATAACCGGGCTCCAATACTACCCATTGTGGAGGTCTATACCCATATAGGCTATATCTTTCTGAAGTGATTCAGTCAAAGTTGATGCAGCTGTAGCTCCTGGTGGTTTTCATAATGTAGTAGAGGAAACTGAGGCCAGCAGCCCAATAGTGAAGGCAAGGAGCAGGAGGAAAAGTTGCTCCAAGAGTCACTGGTTAAGCACTCTGAATAATGGTTTTACTTTTTCTTTACTAGTGACCAGTTGAAGAAAAATAACCGCCCTATCCCACCTTATCAGATGCTTTTACCCAGTGAAACTCTGGCGGGCACAGCTCTGCGGTCGATCCAGAAGGACACCCAGGACAGCATGACCAGCAGCGTGGCAGGAAAATAGGTTTGGAGCAAGAAGAAGAAGATGTGGCGACGTAACGTGAAGTTAATGTGCAGACGGTTGTACCAGCCTGGGAGACACAGGGAGAAGCCAGCAGGTTCCATCTGAAAACAAGACCCCTCTCTGGGAGCCCTTTCTGCCCTGACAGCACTCTCGGCAGTAGCAGAAAGTTAAAATTAATAATTAATTTGCTTAATATAATACCTTTCTTTTCCAAGACCTAAGCCCTCTCTCCTACAAATAAATATCTTGCCAGTATAAGGGATCTTCAAAAAGTTCATGGAAGGATTTATATTATCTTTTAATTCAATTTTTCTATGAACTTTTTGAAATATGTACATTTACTGTCTTATTGGGTATTATCTAACTTCTCTTCACAGCATTTTGGGGAAAGGTAGAACTAAACAGAAGTATAGGTTTGTTGTTTGGTATTTGCTATTTGCAAACCACAGCCATATTTCTGAGTGACTCACTGCTCAGAAGCAGAAGTTGGAGTGATATTTTGTTGAGACCACTTCCACTGAGGCAGGAGCCAGAGTAGCTGGGCTGTTGTCACTGTCCCCTTTATTGTGAGACCGGTCACTCACTCAATATCCACATATATCACAAGAAGAAACAGGCTGTTCACACAATTCTGAAGTCTGACAATAATTCTACTCCTGACACTCTACCACCTTGTGGGAGTCATTTACCATTTGGTCATCTCTCAGGAAAAAAGTAAGGGTATAAATCAATCTCCTTATGGCAATTTGAGAATCACTGATTAATGGTTGTAAAAAAAAAAGATTGAAACTGTAAGGTTTCAAATGATCCACAAGACCATCACCCAACCACCAAGGACAGCGTGAGTGTGCAGAGTGGACTGAAGCCATGTGCGCCCACCCCTCTCCCATCTCAGCCACATCTGAATCAGACTGCGGCAAAAGGTAGCTACCGGTGCTGCTGTAGAAGGCCAGTCTGGAGGTTGTGTGAAATTTTTGAATCAGAAACTGAGACAAGGAGATCTTCTCATCTGTTTTCAGGGATTCGTCCCCATTCTTCCAATACAGCATCAGATCTTCATCTGTATATGCATCTTTGGGGAGAGAAAAATAAGGTAATTTGACTCCTTTGCTTCTGACGCAGGGGGAAGCAACAGAGAAATCCTATGCTCATCTAGGAGTAAACAGGTCTTAGCCCTGGCAGAGAGGTACTCGGTAGCATGGCTACCAAAATAGCACAAAGATCAGAGAGGCAATAGGTGAAGGAATTAGGAATACTGGTACTTACAGCTCTCCAGCTCCAGAGAACAGGTCTGGGAGTCCAGGGGAAAGTGGCTGAAGTCCATGTTGCACATGGCAGTGACCGTAATCCTAGACAATGCAAACACACATGTGGGCCTGTGCAGTGAGTGATTGGTCCACGCACCTGCCCAGAGCAAGGAGGACACAGCTCACGACCAACAGCAGCTGCCTCCTCACATCCGCTTCAGAAGTTCGGAAATACAGGCATCTAAGTTACAGAATCTTAACTTCTCTCTGTAGCAAATGTCATTAGTGCTCTGCGAGATCCCTTCCAGTGGGCTGCTGTACCCTTCTCCCAGCTACTGGAGGGGTTGGCTGCCAGTGGTCCACATCTGCACCCTTCTCTGGGCATCTCTCTCAGCCAGCAGGCCCGCCTCCCCCGGAGACGCCTGGGAGGTTAGGCCTCCCTCCCCACGCCCCAGCCAAGGCCAGGAAGTGTTTGGTATTAGCATTTAATTCTGGTAAACTGTGCAAGCAGACCAGGAAGATGTGGAATAAGGTTGCTCAAATCACTCAAGTTAGCCCACAAACCAATCTGCAGCAGCACTCAATAAGCAGTAGCTATTATTATTATTTTTTTAAATCTTTATTACCGATCAGCTACAATTATAGGCTGTAAGGGATGGAAGGTACCTAGAAGGTCATGGCCCTCATCAACTCATTCAGGCCCAAGTAGTCTTCTAACCCAAGCTTAAGACCCCCAGTGACAGGAAGTCCCGGCCTCCTGGGGTGGCTATCTATTTCATCTTCAGACAGTTCTGACTGGAATCAGAAGACTTGCACCAGCCCACATAGCCCGCGGCTCCAACCACAGGGCCGAACCCTTCAGGGCCAAAGGGATGGACCACACATACTGTAGTGGCATTGGACAAACGAACAATGGTCCCACGGACAGTTACCTCATGCTGTACAGCACGTGGCCATCGGGGAACACCCTCAGCATGATGTTGTCGGTGGTGGTGTCATGGATGAATGACCTTTTGGAGTGGACGAAGAAGACGTCGGGGACCCAGATCTTCTTCACCAGCCGGCCGTCAAAGGTCATGCTCCTGTTGCTGGTGCTGGAGAAGGCCAGCCTCTCGTCCTTCCAGTAGTGCCGCAGGTACAGGGTCATGGTGAAGTCCTGTGGGAGCCAGGGCGAGACCAGACCGAAATGGCTTAGAAAGTTTCCTTCTTTACAGCAGACCCATCATCCACCACCACCACAGACACCTTGGGCTCAGCCTCCAGAGTCAAGGGTGACAGTTCTGCAGTCCTGCAGCAAAACAGCCAATGCAATGGCACAGCTGCAATTAGAAAGAGAACGGCTCATACATGCGTCATGAGCTTGGAGCCCAGGGAGGCTGGAACTTCAGGCCTTGCAGATGAAACTGCAGCTGTGATGCCAACAGCCTGGCCTGGTGGCCAGCACGGTGGTGTTTGCCCAAAGGCCTGCTCTCTCTTGCCTAGTCCATTGCACATATGGTGCCTTACCTTCCTGGCTAACCATCTGACTTCAGCTTAGTGGCTACTTCCAGAAACCTGGACTGTCAAGTGTTCCTCTTAGGAAGGTTTCCACCATTAGACTTGTAAGATCCTTGAAGGCAGAATTCTGTCCTGCCACCATTGAATCCCCATTCACCACCGAATTTCATGCATGGGAAGGCACATAGTAGGTGCTCAATAAATATTTGCTGGATGGAAAGATGGGGAAATAAATGTGTCCTGCCACCATTGAATCCCCATTCACCACCGAATTTCATGCGTGGGAAGGCACATAGTAGGTGCTCAATAAATATTTGCTGGATGGAAAGATGGGGAAATAAATGGATGAGGGGACAGACAGCTGCATACCTACTATAATTTCAGCCTGAAAGCTTATCCTGTTAAAAAGTGTCTCATTGCCTGCATAGCTGATGCCTTAAACCAAGTGTTTGGCCCTTATGCCAGAGGTGCAAGTGGGAGATAGTTGAATAAAGATCCTCTTCAGGGAGCAAGTGGAAGAAGGATGGGAAGAGTGCATGGTGGTGGTGGGCCCAGAGGGAGCCCCAGGAAGGGAGGAAAGAGCGGACACTGAGATCATGCCTATATGAGAGTCTGTCTCTAGACTGGTCCTGGCTGCCACACATCAGCACTTGCCAGGAACTCCCCTTCCACACACAGAGCAGCCAATAGGTAAGTAGGAAGAGACCAGCCAAATGCCCCTCTGGCTCTTTCCCTTCCAGGTGACATAGCTGGAGAGCATGCTCTAAGGGATGTCGCACAGGATGAGTGCCACATTGCAGATTCACAAGCACCAGCTGTGCATGACCAGCTTGGATGGTACCACCCACCACCTTCTCTGCTGGAGTCTGCCTGTTTCTCCATTGGATGTTGGTTGCTCTAAGAAAAGCAACTCACTCTGGGCACCTCTCCCTGGGATCCTCAGTCACTCTTGGAATCAGCAGGAGGGACTTCACATCCAGGGTAGACATTTGGTCTGACTCAGGTCTAGAGCAGACAGGCAGGCCCCAGACCTAGCTGGTTCTGGAGATGGGTGGGCTGTTGGATATCCAAAGGGGCTGGCAGAGTGTGCACTAGCATCTTGGAGACTGTCACGCCTGCACCTGTCACACCTGGGCCCCATCCTTTCCCAGGCGCTGGGGCTGTGGGGGTGCACAGCACCAGTGTCATAGCAGCTTTGCTGTGCTGGGTCAATTAGGAGCCAGGCAGGTCCCCACCCTTCAGGGACACTTGCCAGCGTTGTAGTGGGAGGGGGGGGCCTCCTCCACTTTCATTCATTTCACACAGGTTCTTAGGGCCCCCAGTGGGCCCGTACAGGGCAAGGCTTGTAGTGCTCAGGGGCGAAAAAAAAGACAAGTTCCTGCACTCGTGGAGCTTAGAGTCAAGTGTGGGAGACAACCCACATACAAGAAGACTTCAAAATAAATATATAGCACAATTATAAATGATGATGCAGGCTATTAAGGAAAAACAAATTCTTTGGATCAGGTGGTCAGGGAAACCTCTTTGAAGATGCTGTATCTCAGCCGTGACCTAAAGAATAAGGAGTCAGCTGTGGGGAGGCCAGAGCACACACATGGTCCCTGAGGCAGAAGAAAGAGGAAGTCTGCAGACTGAAAGGGCAGCACAGAAAAGGGGCGGGGATGGTGGGGTGGAGAGGTTGGGGGTGCCCTGCTGCATGGCAAGCCCCTACAGGACAGCCAGGAGGGTGTGTGCATGTGGTGGGAGAGAAGTGGAGAGGGGGCAATGCCTGGGGGTGAGCAGGGAGCTGTGTTCACAGCAGGAACTGAAGACTGAAGAACTGCAGAATTTCCACCTGAAACCATCCACCTCCAGTGATGCTCCACGTGTGCTTTGTCTGACCTCTCGCATCACTTGAGGGGCGTGTTCAAAATGTGGAGTCACTCCCTGGGCCTCACTCCCTGATAGTTTGGATGTGTTGTTCCCACCAAAACTCATGTGGAAATTTGATCCCCAATGTGGCAGGGTTGGAAACTGAGTCATGGGGGCAGATCCTTCATGAATGGATTATTGCTCTTCCTGGGGGAAGAGGTCTTGCTCTATTAGTTCCCATGAGAGCTGATTGTTTAAAAGACCCTGGCACCTCCTCTCTCTCTCTTGCTTCCTCTCGCCATGTGATCTGCTTGTACCCGCCGGCTGCCTGCTGCTTTCTGCCGTGAGTAGAAGCAGCCTGAGGACTGCATCAGATGCAGCTGTCCCAGAATTGTAAGCCAAATAAACCTCTGTTTTTTATAAATTTCTGCTGTAGCAACACAAAATGGACTAATACACTCCCAAAGCTTCTGAATCAGGCAGAGTGGGGTAGGCCCCGGAACCAGCATATAACCAACTCTCCAAGTTATTTTTGCCCGCAAAGCTTGAGAACTCTGCTCTACATTTTACCACACCAGGGTCAACTTCCACGTGCCCATTTGGTCACCTCTGGCTCCTGCCCTGCCCACGCAGGCACAGTCTGCGCCAGCGAGGCCCACCACACCCTAGGTGCTCTCAGCATCTCAGCTGCAGGGTCCCTCCCTGAGGCTGCCCTGCCCAGGGCGCTGCATACCATGTCCACCTCGGAGATGCTGTCCAGACTCTCCACCTGCACGTCCACGCCCACGGGTATGGCAGGGCCTGCAGAAGAGCAGAGACAGCTGGTTAAGGTACTTCCTCCCCACCCCTGGGCTGGGAGACAGCCCCCTCCCCTTCCCTGGGGGAGCTGGGACTACAGCTGGGGAAAGGCAGTGGTTCAGAGTTCTGTGAGGGTTTCTGGCTAGTTCCGGATCTGTTGGGTGCCTGATCTTTCTCTGTGATCTTCACCTGCCCTATGTGCCATTCCTGGGCCAAGGCATACGTTTGGTTCATGCTTGTATGAATCAATGGGCGGGATCACTCCTTTCTACATCCAAGGGCTGTCTCTGTGGGGTAGAGGTAATACTGTTGCTCCAGTGCCTGAGTGGAGACCCTGGTCATTTGTCCTCCTGTGACATCTAAAAAGGACAGACTGAGACCTAAGAGCCTCTGACTTGGGGTTGGAGCACCTATGTGCCCAGGTCTGGATTCATTCAGTCATTCAAGCTCTTGGGATCACTCCTTTCTACATCCAAGGGCTATCTCTGTGGGGTAGAGTTAATACTGTTGCTCCAGTGCCTGAGTGGAGACCCTGGTCATTTGTCCTCCTGTGACATCTAAAAAGGATAGACTGAGACCTAAGAGCTTCTGACTTGGGGTTGGAGCACCTATGTGCCCAGGTCTGGATTCATTCAGTCATTCAAGCTCTACCTACAGAGTACCCGACATATAGCTGGGGCCCCAGCCTCTAGAAGCCTTCAACCTAGTGTGAGACAAGATCTCTGTGCAAAGTTAGATGACCGTGACAGACAGTACTATAAGAGATTTTGAAATCCCTCCAGGATATGTCAGGTGAGAAGTATGAGAATGCATAGCATAGAAACTAGCACTCAATTCCATCTGGCCCCTGGCAAGATTTCTAAAACTGGGTTTATCTGTGAGTTTATCTGTGTGGTCCTGTCCTTTTTCCTGAACTGGGTGATGGTTACATTGCTAAGTTCACTCTGATAATTTAGTGAGCTGTACACTTATAATTTGTGCACTTTTCTGTATGTTATGCTTCAGTAAAATGTTTTTAGATTTTAGAATTTAAAAAAAGAAAGGGAAAATCTAAAAATCTATGTCTATCAATCATATTAACAAATGCCATTACACTGACAGCCAAAAACTGTTTCTGGAAAGAGTCAGGCCTTCTGGGGACAAGGCATTGTCCAGAGGCGACCCAGCCACGCACGGATCTTCTGAGCCCTGATCAGGGAAGGCAGGACCAGGAAATTCTGGCCCACTGTGGCCTGAGTGGGAGAGCCTTAGGGGGCAGGGTGAGACGGGTCTTAGGGAATGAGAAGAACTGGAAGGGACTGAGACTGGCTGTGGGCAGGGAAGAAGGTCAGAGATCCTGACGTGGAATAAGTCAGAACTAGAAGGCTCCATCCTCAGTTCCAGCAAAAGTGCAGGTGGGAATCCGCCTGGAGGCAGCCTAGGGCATTGGATGGGCTTGCAGACTCCCCCCAGATTTCCCCTGCAGGCTTGCTAACACTTGAAATCCCACCATTAAAGATTTGTTTTTGGCTGAGCCTGATAGAAGGGAAAGATTTTATTTATTACTGGTGGAATTGAGTGAATATTTCATGCTCTTAAACATAAAGACAAGTAAGTACATGCTTTATATTTTTTCTCAGATGAATCAGGGTGTAAGTTGATCTTTCTGTTTTCCTGTGTTCCTCAAATGATGGCTTGAGTCAGGGCCCATGAAAACCCCCTGCTCCCACAGCCGTATTCTCCTTGTTCCAGGCAGCAGGAGTGCTGTGAAGGTGCTGGAAGTGGCACGGGCAGTGTGGCATGGCCCCTCCTCAGGACTTGCTCACTTGCTTTCTCTCCCGAGGGGCGTGTAGCACAAAGGAGGGTCTGCGGGCAGCCTGGCCGGCGCCCTCTCCAGCTACCGAGACCCCTGCACAGTGAGTCAGGCTCCTAACATAGCCATCAGGGGAACCGGGGCTGGTTAATTTCCTCATGCCCTGGACCCTTCCTTAGTCTGAGATGTTAAAATGGCTGAGTCGGAGCTCTGAACCCTGGGGCGGCACTGCCTCCTGTGGCAAGCGTGCTGTACTCTACTAACCTCTGTTCCCCAGTACCCCCTCACTCCCTTTCTCTAGAGTGCCAGGTGACCTGCTACATACAGTGGTTCCAAGAGTTAAAGGGATAAAACAATATAGTGACCGCCTCTTTGGACCCACTTTCCAGTGGCCTGGTTTTCAGATAATGTGCACAGTGTTTGACCAGGTGCTGGTTTTGGCTCAGGACATTTTCCAGATAAAATATATCAGCCTGCTTGGTGTCTGTTACTGTGTCTCTCTGTTCTTGGGGTTTGGCTTGCTCTCCACAGCTCCGGCAGCCCTTTTAAGGAGAAACTTGGTAAAGCTTGCGAGGGTACTGTCAGTGTTCTGGAGATGTCCACGCGGAGTGCAGGCCGAGTTCTCAGGTGCCCTGGGTTGCTGGAGGTAAACGATCTGTGGGTGCAGGAGGCTCCAGAGCCGCACTCAGGAGGACTCACACCTCAAGCCTGAACAGACCTACAGTCCTGCCCTCCTTGGTCTGAGCTTTGCCTGTGACCTGCCCCCCTGCCAGCTCTCCCGAGCTCTCCATATGGTGGCGCTTCCCAACCCAGATTTGGGATAAATTCTTCCACATTACTAGTCTTTCTCCTCCTTCCACAAACAACTGTATGTTTTGAGTGGGGCTGAATCCTATCAGGTGTTAGAAGGAAAATGGTCTCGTTAAACTAAGTGGTCACAACTTGGCCCCTTAATGCTGCTGTAGGGTTTTCTGCTTTAAAGGAAGGGTCCAGTGAGCCTCGCAGAAGCCCGGGGTGGGATTTCAGGCAGCACAGCCGGTGAGGTGGCACACGCAAGGCAGCATAAGGGAAATACGTGCTCGGCCAAGGGCTCCCACCGGTTCCCAGCCTTTCTGCCACCACTTTTCCTTGCAGGGTACTGGAAGGCACACGGTAGGGAGTTGTTGATTTTTGAAATAAAGATATATGTCATTTCTTTCCCACTGACTCTTCAAGAATCCACTTGAAATAGAATTTTTAGACAAACTAAACTGAAAGAACTTGCCAACAGGTGTCCTGCCCCAAACAGATGTGTCTTTCAAGCAGTACAAATGTGATCCCAGAGGGAAAGCTAGAGACCCAAGAACAAAGAAAGAACAGCAAAGACGGTAAATACGTGCATAATTCTAAGTGAATATCAATTCAACAAAAATAGTAATAATGTATTGTGGGGTTGAAAAACCTAAGCTAAAATACACAACAAAAATAACATTTAAGTGGGGAGGGGTATAAATAAAGTGGAAGTCTTTGAGGGTTTTGCATTGTCCAGAACAGTAAAAGTAGCTGATTAACATACTAGTATGATAAGCCAAGGATTCATGTTGTTTTCTAGGTAATCACCAAGGAACAGTAAGAATATGTACTTTCCAAACTAAAATAAGAAAGCCAAAATAGGAATAAACAAAAATAATCAATCTAAAAGAAAGCAGGGAGAAAAAGAAAGAACATAGAATTGGTTGAATGGTAGAAAGAATACAGCAGAATAATAGATTTAAAACCAATATATAAATAATTGAATAAATATACAATTTATTATATAAATTGGACTCGATGCTCCAGTTAACAAATATTGTCACACTTGGTAATTCAGAAGTGCAAAGTTTGTCAGATTGGATCAAGATACAAAACTCAACATTATACTGTTCAAAGAGACACATTAAAAATATAAGATACAGTAAAGTATGTAAGAATGGAAAAGGATGGTAAACATATAACATGCAAATAATGACCAAAATAAAATGAGTGTAGTTATATTATATCAAGTAGACCTAAAGAGTGATAAAGTAGAGACAAAATGGTCATTTCATAATAACAAATGATTCAATTAACCAAAAAATATAAAAATTCTAAATTTATGTGCATTTGATGATAGGCCTCAAAATGTAGAAAGCAAAAATGGACAGAATTAAAGTAGAAACAGGTCCACAATCATAGTGGGAGATTTTAATACATCTCTCTCAGAACTTGATAAAACAAGCAGACCAAAAAATAAGGACATATAAGATTAAAACAATTAACAAATTTGATATAATGGACATATATAGTGAATGCAAAAACTGCTTAAAATACATTCATTTCAAGTACACATTGGGCAGTTATAAAAATTGACCATCTACTGTGCCATAAAGCAATTTCAACAAAATTTAAAGGTCTGGAATTTTGAAAAGGTATGAACTCAATGAACATGAGAAATTAATAACAAAAGTATAACTAGAAAATCCCCATGTATTTGGAAATTAAGTGGGGTACTTCTGAAAACCCCATGGATCAATGAAAAAATCATAATGAAAATTAGAAAATTTTAACTAAATGATAAAAAAACATGGAATGCAGGCTAAGTACTTCTTATAGGAAAATTTATAAACTTCACTAAATATATCAAAAAAGAAGAAATGCTTAAATTGAATGAGCTAATCATCCATCTTAAGAAATTAGGAAAAGAACAGAAAATTAAAGTAGATGGAAAGAAATTATAAAGGTAAGAAAATATTGTAATAGAAACAAATATACAACTGAAAGAATCAATAAGTAATCAATAAATAAACCAATCAAAAATTGGTTATTTGAAAGGATGAATAAAATTGATAAAACTCTGACAAGATTGATCTTGCAAAAATGAAAGAAGGCAAAAATAGCCAATATCAGGAATGAAAAGGACATTACTATATACGCTGCAGACACGAAAAAAGATAGAAAGGTTATTCTGAACAACTTTTTGCAATAAACTTTAAAATGTCAATGATATGGACAAATTCCTAGGAAAATACAACATATCAAGTAACATTGATAAAAGGACAAAAATGAAAACCTGAAAAGTCCTATATAACTATTTTTTTTTTCTTTTTTTTTCGTGTCCGGCAACGGATCGCAACCCTCAGTGTCGCGCCCGCACCGGACTGGGACTGGCAACGGGATCGCAACCCTCGGTGTTGCTCCCACACCTCGCTCAGCC